GGACCAGCAGCAGCAGCAGAGCCAGCAGCAGCTCGCTCAGCAGCAGCAGCTCGCTCAACAGCAGCAGCTCGCTCAGCAGCAGCGGCTTGCGCAGCAGCAACAACGGCAGCAGCGCGCGCAGCAGCAAAAGGGGCTGCCCGCGCCTTCTGCTGCGTCTGCCCCCGGCAGCTGGGAGGCCGAGGTTGCATGCGCTGTGCTGCTGATCGACGCAGCAGCAAACAGCAGCAGCAGCAGCAGTAGCAGCAGTGTTGCTGTGTCTGCATGCCGCTGGCTGCTGGGAGAAGGGGTGTCCCATGTGCTGCTGCTGACGCCGCTGCTGCAGCTGCCGGAGGAGCTGATGACGGAAGAGGGAGCTGCGCTGCTGCTGCAGCAGCAGCAGCAGCAAAGGCGAGGAGGCATCCTTCCGATTCACTGCAGCTGCGCTGCTGAGGCAGCAATTGCTGCTGCTCTAGACGAGCTGCTGCTGCTGCCATCGCTGCCCCCCGTTCGTGCTGCAGTCTTCTTGGTAGACGAGGAGGATTGTGAGCAGCACAGCAGCAGCAGCAGCAGCAGCAGCAGCAACGGCGCGCCTGCAGCAGCAGCAGCAGCAGGCGGCTTCTACTTCCTGCAGCGGGCAAAGCATGCAACTAATTTGCTGCAGCAGCTGCAGAGACACCCCGTGGGGGCCTCGCTAACGCACTGGGTCTCAATAAGCTACAGAAGGGGCCCCGCAGCAGCTCACCCCGAGCCAGCAGCAGCAGCAGCAGCAGCAGCAGCAGCAGGGGATCAGCAGCCTAAAGGTTCTGGGGCTTCTGGTGCTGCTGATGCAGCTCGGCCGGCTACGCCGGGAGGCCGCTTAAGTGCAGAAGCAGCAGCAGCAACAGCAGCAGCAGCAGCCTCTGCTTTAGCTGCACCAGAGTTCCAGGGTTCCAAAGCAACTGCAGCAGCCGCAGCAGCAGCAGCAGCAACGGAGCAGAATATTTGCTGTCGGCCTTTGCTGAGGCTGCTGCCTTTGTCAGTTGGCCGTGCTGCGCTGCACGGGTGTCTTGCTGCAGTTGCTGCTGCTGCTGCTGCTGGAGGTCTCGTGGCTCGCGAGGTGTACATACACCCTGCAGGAGAGCCCTGCTGCAGCAGCAGTAGCAGCAGCAGCAGCGAGCTCCCGGCTCTCAACAGCTGCTGCTGCTTAAACAGCTCGGCCCAGAGCTCTGCTGCTTGCTGCTGCAGCAGCGACAGCAGCGTGACAATGGAGAGCCTCGTCATTTCCGTGCTGTCAAGCCTGCTGCTGCAGCAGCAGCCGCAGCAGCAGCAGCAGCAGCAGCGGGTGCACGTGCTGCACCACCTGCCGCCAGCCCCCGACGAGGGCCTGCTGCTGCTGCTGCCCTTCGAGAAGCAAAGAAGACAAAAGAGATTAGGAACTAAAGAAGAAATAGAAGCAATTCAATGCAAAGTGCATGCACTGTGTCTGCTGCACCTGCCTCCGGGTGTGCTGCTGCAGCAGCAGCAGCCGCTGCAGTACCTGGGGCTCGACAGCATCAGCAGCAGGCGCCTCTTCTTCGCGCTTTGCTGCTGCTTCCAGCTGCAGCAGCAGCAGCAGCAGCAGCTAAACGACGAGTTCTTGGGGGCCCAGGCCTCTGTGCACTCTCTTACTCTCAAAATTGCTGCTATCCTTGCTGCTGCTAAAGCAGCAGCAGCAGCAGCAGCAGCGCCTGCCAGCAGGGCTAGAAGCAGGGCTAGCAGATGCAGCAGCAGATGCAGCAGCAGATGCAGCAGCAACAGATGCAGCAGCAGATGCAGCAGCAACAGAGCCACTTTCACCTCGGGGCAGTCCAGCAAACGCAGCAGCATCAGCTACTCAGCTGCTGCGCCTGTGCAGCACCAACACTAGCTGCTGTTGCTGCTGCTGCTGCTGCCGTGTTAGCTTCAGCTGCAGCAGAAGCGGCTGCTCTCACTATCAATAGGACCTGCCAAGAGGCAGTCGAAGCCGCCTGCAGCAGCAGCAGCAGCAGCAGCCGGCGCAACCTATCCCTAAACCCTAGAGCCTAAACCCTAAACCCTAAACCTTAAACCCTAAACCCTTAACTCTAAACCCTCAACTCTAAACCCTATTTGCAGCCTTGCAAGATGCAAAATTTACAAAATTCCTTGTCAACTTGAAAGCCGCGCCTCAGCAGCAGCAGATGCTGCTGCTGCAGATGCTGCTGCTGCAGATGCTGCTGCTGCTGCTGCTGCGAAAAAAAGGGAAGGGAGCTCAAGAGCCCCTAAATGAAAAACCAGCAGCAAGCAGGCAGCCCTCTGCTTCGTAAGTATATTGCTGTTGCTGCTGCTGCTGTTGCTGCTGCTGCTGTAGCCGTTGTTGCTGCTGCTGCTGTTTTTCCCGCTGCTGGTGTAGCCGTTGTTGTTGCTGCTGCCTTTGCTGGAACTGCTGCTGCTCGCGTTCCTTCAGCTGTTGCCATTGCTGCAGCCGCTCCAGCTGCTGCTGCTGCTGCTGCTGCTGCTGCTGCTGCTAGTTGCGGGCACCGGGCCTCTTTTTTCTGCTCCAGAATTTCCACCACAAAGGGCCGTCGTAAACAGCAGCAGGAGATCCTTCTTTGCTGCGCTTGGCAGCAAGTTGCTGCCGGCGAGCAGCAACAAGTTGCGCTGCTGCTGCTGCCTGCTGCTGCTGCTGCAGCGCAGCAGCAACTGCAGCAGCTGTGCTGCTGTACCCAGCAGCAAACTGAGCCCACGAGACCGCAGCAGCAGGGGCCCCACTCGCTGCTTCTGTTTTGCTGCTTTCCTTTGGAGGCTTTCCTGCTTCCGTTGTGTCTGCTGCAGCCGCTGCTGCTGCTGCTGCTGCTGCCGGTCTTGCTGCTGCAGATGAAGAGAAAACAGCCGAAACCCTAAACCCCAAACCCTCAAAGCGGGCGGGAAGGGTAAAGGGATTCAGGTGCCCAGCCCGTGCTGCACTCACCAACATCTTCTAAACCCTAAACCCTAAACCCTAAACCCTCGGGAGGGCTGCTGCAGCAACGGCCCTGCTGCCGTTAAGCAGCAGTCCTCTCGCGGCGGCTGGCTGTTCAGAAACAATAAATTCAGCAGCAGCCGCAGCAGCTGCTGCTGCTGCTGCAGCAGCTGCTGCTAGTGGTGCTGCTGCTAGCAGGGATGGAGAGCTACGGGATTGACGGCAACGCTTCAAATGCTCTAGTCAGGGTTTAGAATTTAGGGTTTAGGGTTTAGGGTTTAGGGTTTAGGGGCTAGCCGCCGACTCATTGAGTTCTTGCATGCTGCTGCTGGCAGCAGCACGCATGTGCAGCAGCTGCTGCTGCTCAGAGCAAAAAGCTAACGTTTAGAGTTTCAAGTTTAGGGTTTAGGGTTTAGGGTTTAGGGTTTAAGTTTAAGCCTTTTCAAATATATTTTTAAGGTTCTACTTCAAGCGAAATCGCAAGAAGACAGCGAGTTTCAGTTTTGAGGGCTTGCGGCTGTGCTGCTGCATGCTGCTGCTGGCAGCAGCACGCATGTGCAGCAGCTGCTGCTGCTCAGAGCAAAAAGCTAACGTTTAGAGTTTCAAGTTTAGGGTTTAGGGTTTAGGGTTTAGGGTTTGGGTATAACGGGCTAGGGTTTAGGGGTTAGCGCGAAGACCGTGGTTGTTGCTGGTGGCATCTGGGTGGCCCGTGGAGGGTCTAGGGTTTAGGGTTTATGGTTTAGGGTTTAGGGTCTAGGAAGTCTCAAAAACTTGAAACGAGTTGAAATATCTTGTAGATTGTTTGTTACAAACGCCGTGGGTCTTCGCAAAAGGCAGCGTTAAGGGTTTGGGCTTTCGGGTTTAGAGTTTAGGGTTTAGGGTTTAGGGTTTGGAGGTTGGTGGTGGCGGCTCCCCCCCAACGACCCCACCCTCTCCACTTTGCTGCTGCTGCTTCTCCTTCTGCTGCACTTCCTGTCTCTTTTCTTTATATCTTTGCGCCTTTTTTTGTTTTTAGTTATTTTGGGGTTTCTTTCCATCAGCAGCAGCAGCAGCAGCAGCGGCAGCTGCAGCA